AAACAGTTATTTTTTTATTTAACAAATATTTATTTATTGTAAATGTTAAATTAATACTATTTAACAAATAGTTATTAAAATTTGATATATTTTTTCTCATTGTATATATACGTAATAACATTCATATTTCTTATGCGTTTTAGATTTTCCAAAAAATAAAAACAAAATGAATGACAGCGGTGCTGTCGAGAAGAGTGACGGAGAAGAGAAAATGGATCCGGGCGCTATCAGACACGGGAACTTCATGAATTATTACCAATTCCATCCTGCGGAAGAGCGCGTGCGGCAACTTCCGCGTGGCGTGTGGCAGCGGCAACGGGTCGCTCATCCGGCCCGGAAATACGCGGGTCTAGACGTCGGCTGTAACGCCGGGGTAAGAGCGGCGGCACAGCAGCTGTCGGGGGGACGTATGGGCCAGGCCAGGCCAAAACGGGATGATTCGGCCTTCGTGATCCGAAACTACAAACGGGCGCGTCTAATTCTGGTCAAGTTATCCCCTTTCAGCTTTTCGTTCTCGCGAGCATCCGCTTCCGGAATTTGTATCCTTTGTCCTTGTTAGAAATTTCCTGTTCATTTTCTCTTTCTCTCTCTTTTCCTCATTTCTCTTTATTAAAGCTAATTTCTCGTTTTCTTCATTACGGAATACTTTACAACTGTCGTGTTTCCTCTTAGTTGGAGATTGCTTGGATAATTTGAAGCGGAACTCTTATTAAAAAAATACGACGTGTGCCTAATTTGATTATTCTATTTCTAATATTTCAAATGTAAATTAGAAGATGTAGATTAAATATTTATTTCCATATTTATTTCCATATTTATTTATACTATGTCAATACAAAACACTAAATAATAATTTCAATAATCAATTTAAAATTCTTTGGTGCGATTTTTAGATGTTGACAGTTTGTATGTGTGTATGTGTGTGTGTGTGTGTGTGTGTGTGTGTGTGTGTGTGTGTGTGTGTGTGTGTGTGTGTGTGTGTGTGTGTGTGTGTGTGTGTGTGTGTTTTA